TAAATGTACTTACAGATGAGACAACATGATCTTCAATTTCCTTCTTTAAAAATGGGCTATGGGGTCAGGGGTAGGAGTGGGATGTAAATGAGACAAGATTGACCCTGAGTTGGTAACTGTTGTACAATCAGATGATGAGCACATCATGGCATATACTCTGTATTCTGTATGTTTGAGAATTTCCATGTCAAAAAGTGAAAAAAGACTTAGGAAACTTAAAATGGGGCTGGGACTATGGCTCAGTGGTAGAGAGCACTTGCCTAGCACGTGTGAGGCTCTGGATCTAATTCCTAGTACCACACATACAAATGGACCTACACACAAATAGATGAAACTACCATGTCTATGATCCAATAATACCACTTCTGGGTTTTTATCCAATAGTTTTGAAATCAGAATCATGGAGAGATTCATTTCTCCAATGTTCGCTGTAGCATTATTCACAGTAGCCCAAGTATGAAAACAATGTTCATGGATGGATGGATGAATGGTTAAAGAAAATGTTGGATGGATATGCACTGGAGTATTATTCAGCCTTTAAAAGGAAGAAAACCTTGACATCTGCAAGATGGTTGAACCCATAGGACATAAGTGAAATAAGCCAATCATAGGATGACATATTGAATGATTATGTGAGATATTATCGCCACTTTTGGAGGCGCCGAGAGGAGTGTTGTTTTTTCTGTGGTATGAGGGGGGCATGTGGAGTTTTTCTTCTCTATGGGTATAGTTTTTATATCGCGCGATGTGTATGTTTTCTAGATCTCTGCGCCATTTTTCTCCCTATTTTATACTTTTATTTTTTTTTTCTATAAACACCCTATAATCTCTCTTCTGGTTTTTTTTTAAATCAAAAGGAAGGCTCAGATCATTCAGTGGCCTCAGACTGGTAGAGGTTGTCACACAACAGTTGAGTTGCTCCTAACTACATCCTGGTTAAGTGGGGGTGTGTAAGCCATCAGTGCACTGGATCTTATTTGCTCCTTGCCTGAGGTTTAAGTTTACAGTGCTTTATATTTAACTGAAAGACTTAGAAGATAACTGACAGGTCCAGTGGATGCGTCACTCCCATCATTTGGGAACCATTAGAGATCTTTCAGTGCATACTCACTCTCGCCCTGTTCCCCTGGAAGACGCTCATTGCCCTAGTAGTTGATGAGTCCTGACACTCGCCACAGATGCTGTAAAGCCTGTTTCAAGAGTGGTTCTCTCTAGGTGTTTCCTAGGCCTTTGTATTCTTGACTTTGAGCTGCATGCGCTCTAGCATCTGAAGGATTTGGAATGGCCACGCCCTTTATGTGCAAAGGAAGTCTCTCCTCCTGTCATTCCTGGCACTGGTGACTCCAGAATTCTTATAAAAATGAGTGATACTAGGCCAAATTTTCATGGTACAGTGTTCCTGGGGGCCAAGCCCAGAGCTGCCATTGAGTCTGCTGGGATTCTGCATCTACTTGCCCCCTCCTACACTTTTGTTTTTTTAAGGAGATATTTTGTTAAGGATTAGAACTTTAGAAAGCTCCAGGTGAATTCTACTTGATGTTGCCTTGATAATTTCCCCAGATTTTTATTTTCCTTTTCAACTTTGTTTCCCTCTTCTTTGATGCAGGGCAGTGAAAGCAGATTTTACTCTGTGCCTCCTTGGTAGGAATTGAGTGGAATGTTATTTGATCCTTGGGCCTCTGAGGTTAGACAAGGAATTAGAAATATCTGAACTCTACTCTAAACCCTAATCTTCTCATCCCCAATGTGTGCTTAATAAGAAGCAGAATAAACACTTCAGGTCAGAATAAGTTCAAATGGTCTAGAATTTACATATCAGAAATAAAAGAAAAAAAACAATGGACTAGGAATGTTCAAAACTACTGCCCCTGGTAAGGTGTGTGCTGGTTCTCAACTCTTCTCCAAAGGATGCTGCTTAAATTTCTGAAGTTGACAAATGTGACCAAATGCATAATTTCATTTTTAATTACAATAGAAGGAAGGGGACTCCCGAGAAAATGTCTAAAGAGATTTTATAAAGATAGTTTTAGGTGAACTCTTATCAAATCTTGTCTCTAACTTCTCAAAAGATTCTTAAATTGCCACCTTACATCTGAGAGCTTATTATGAAATGAAACTCTCAGATAAGAGTTTACCCTAAATCCCTCTTACCTGAGAGCTGGAGCTGGAGGAAGCAGGGAGTAGGGGCAGATCGAGGAGGACACACACCTATTCATAGGCTGCATGTCTCAGGTACTGGTAGGGCTGGAGTGGGAGTGGCGAACCATCTGGTCTCAGCCCAGCTCACCTTGTTAGAATACCAGTGTGAAAACTGGAGTTGGGGCAATTTTTGATTTTGCAATGACCAAGTTTTTCTATCGATGGGCAATGTTAAAGCCACATAATATGGTTAGCTATCTGGGTCTTCACATTGTTTCCCCTTTCTCTTACATGGAAGGACTGGGTTATGAGTACTTACAAGAGTAGAGAACTTGCATGCTTAGGGACTTAAGACCATGTGGCTCCATAGTTGCTGAAAGAATGCTGGACTTGGTGGAGCCTGGCTCACCTCATTCTGTGTAATGGAGGAATTTCGGGACATTCTGGGCCACTTCATCTAAGAATTTGTGTGGGGAAAGGGCATCCATTTATTGGGTACCAGACAGAGGCTCATCTCTACAGGCTTGATGCCAGTTATCCTCATCACAAATCTGCAAGTAGTCTTCTCACTAGGTGAGCCAGAGAGGGGGCAGGGGATTTGTGACAAGCCACACCTGGTTTCATACGTGGCACAACCATCATGATACAAAGGTCTAGGCAACACCAAAACTGGTGCTCTTTTGCTATTTTTTTAAATTAAAGCTTTGTAACTAAAACTTTTCCTTCCAATTCTCCCCCCCTTCTCCCATGCTCCTTCCTCTACTAGTCTTCCTGTCACTCATCTACTTATATTTGATTGGTTTTATCTATGCATGAAGGTGGGGTTCCCTGTGGTACATTTATACATGCACAAAACATGATTTTCTAAGAATACATTCTGCTTTGCTTCCCCTTACCCATCCCTCCACTCTGCCTCTTGATCTATTTCTTCTACATTTCTTATTGCTAGTGATGCTGAACCTTTTTGGTTGGCCATTTGTTTCTATTGAGAAGTTTAGTTCCTATGCCTACTTATTGATCAGGGTATTTGTATTCTGGATAACAATCCCCTGTTACTAGGAGTAGCTGGCCAAGATTTTCTCCTTTTCTATAGATCCTCTCTTCCCATTTTTGCTTCCTTTGCTGTGAAGAAGCTTTTTAGTTTGGCATCCCACTTATTGATTGTTGATTTATTTATTGCACTTTGACAGTCTGAAGTCAGTGCCAGCACCTATATGATGGAGTGTATACCCTATGTTTTCTTCTAGCAGTTGTGAAGTTTCTGGTCTAATTCTTAAGTTTTTGATCCATTTTGAGTTTTGTTCCAGGTAAGAGATGGGGTTCTAGTTTCATCTTTGTATGGCTATCCAGTTTCCCCAGCACCATTTGTTAAAAAGGCTATTTTCTCCAAAATGTTTTTGGTACCCTTGTCAAATATGGGACAGCTATAAGTATGTGAATTTCTCTGTATTCTGTTCTATTGATGTTTGTGTCTTTTTTGATGCCAATACCATGCTGTTTTTGTTACTATATCTCTGGGGTATAATTGCAAATCGGGTTTTGTGATGTGTCTTGTACTCTTTCAAATTTAAGAATTGTTTTTCCTAACTGAATAATGTCTGTGGGGATTGCATTGAATCAGAACATTGCTCTTGGTAGTATGGCCATTTTCACAATATTAATTCTGCCTGTCCCAGAACATGGGAGGTCTTCCCGTTTTCTACGGTTGTCTTCAATTTCTTTCTTCAGTGTTCTATGATGTTCATTGTAGAGATCTTTTACCTCCTTGGTTAGATAAATGAAAACTCGTGCTCTTTTGATGGTCCATTCTTAGAGTACACATATAAAAAACTAAAGAACCAGAGATGCAGATGTGTACAGCCTGTAGCTAAGAGGAGTAGGCGAGACTAAGGAGCAGAACTGGCTGCAAGTTGGGAGAGAGTTATATAAAAGGCCAGACAGTGTGATCTAACTGGAGTTGAAGTCCCCAAGTAAAATCTAGGATGGAGCAAGATGAAGCGTTGGACAATCTGGGTTTCTGCAGGGTGCACCAATTAGACATGAGACTAAAATATCCCTTGGAAAATGGAAAAGTATACAGTGCCAGTTGGTGCAGGTTTCCCCATTAAAGCAAAGTAGCAAAGTATAAGTCAGTTATTCTCTGCAACTGTGCATCACTATTAGGATATTTAACAACAACAACAAAACAACAAAACCTTATTCTAGAGGTAGAGTCTGTTCCTGTTGTGTCTTGTGACTACACGTGTAGGCTGTCTAGTGGAACTCCAGGTTCCACCCCCAACCCTGGGCTACAGCTGAGGGTAGGCTGAGAGCAGAGCAGCTGTCAGCCAGGACTCTGAAATCAAGCAATACACCTGCTGAACTAGGTGCCCAGAAAGACGTACGAGGCCGTGGTTCCTGCTCTGCTGGATCTCCTGGCACTCATCTCTTTTGTGCTCTTCGCAGCACCCTCTTTAGGAAAAGCAGCTCAGAAATGATCAGGATGTGGTCCCTACTGGCCTTCAGGAGGGTCTGTGACTCCTGGAACAGAGAAGAACTATGGGAGGGCAGGGACAGATGAAGGCCAAAGAAATGCAAATGCTTACAGCAAGGGTGAATTAGATCTCATATGATTATAAATTTTACTCAGATTTCCTTAGGCTCTCGGTTGTCCTTTATGTACCTGTTGTATTGGAAGAATGCACCTATGGTTTGCAGACACTGCTTGGCTTCTGGATGCACAGGGTTGGAAAGATCTTGCTGTGAAAAGATGGAATAAACAGCCTTAAAGCTACATTAGGGCGAACCTGGCGTGCTAAGTTATGGCCTAAGTCATAGGCTGTCAAATCTGACCTTGCCCTGGGTATGCTCTGCTTTTTCAGGTGGCGCTCAAGCACGAAGATGGTGAAGAGATAGCAGAGCCACCCCCCAGTGGGCTCCGGGACCGCAGGAGGGCCAGCGTGTGTTCTGGTGGCAGTGGGGGTGAGCACCAGAGCATTGACCGCAGGAGGAGCCGCAGGCACTCAGTACAGACCCTCAAGAGTCCGCTGTCGGGTCCTACCAGTCCCTGCTCCCTGTCAGCTGCTGCCTTCAAGCCGAACCAAATACGAGACCTCTGTGAAAAGTAAGTTAAACCCAGTGTTGGGGAGAGGTGAAGGGTAGCCCCCAAAGAGGGAGGGAGATCATGAGCCATAGATGCCCACGGCCATTGGCTCTCCACCAGCCAGAAGAGCCCCTGGCCTTCCCCCTGCCTTTTCTCTACCATGAAACCACCATCACCAGGAAATTCCCCCAGCAAGGCACACCCTGGTGTGCAGAGACTTGGTGACCTTGTCTTCAGCCACCTGTGTTTTGTATTCTTTAATGTCTCCATATCATTCATATCCATTCAGAAAAGGTTTTAGAAAATGGAAAAGAATCCAAAACACACAACTTTTGTCTATAAATACAGTAGGCTACCACAGTAGTATAAAATGATAGACTCTTGAGAAACCTGTAGCAATTTACAAAATTGGTTTTAGTTAAGTATAATAAATCCGTGTAAGTTTAGAAACATATTTCTTTATATTTCAGTAAATGCTTTCATTTAGTTCAGTGAAACATGTTTATTGAGTGTCCACTGTGGGTCAGGACTACTCAAAGGCATGCAGATATATAACCAGAAGGGGTTATGGTCTGTGTCTTTATGAACCTCACATCTGGGCTGGGAGGGAGAGTAAGAAAGATAGGAAGAAATGAAAAGATTGACAATCCTGTGAGAAATTGTTTAGGTTCAAAATTTGAAGTTTGATCCAATCTGAGGAAGCCCAGAGTGATTCTGAAAACCTCCGGTGCTTCAAAGGGATGGCTACGCTCTCTGGGATCTGGGCGAGTTGTGTACTCCCCGGCAGCTGCTGTCCATTCACTGGGAAGAAGCGCTTTGTGGACCAGTCCATAGCGCTGGTTCATTCATTTCCTGCTGCTGGTGGGAGCAGTGCTTATGTCATTTGGAGCTTTTGCCCCCATGGAGGAGACATTCCTGGGACCAAATTCGGGTCACCCAGCTGCAAGATGAACAAGAAAATAACTTGAAGTTGCATGAATTTTTGGAAGTCTACCATCAAGATGTGCCCCCCAGTCTCTGAGGGAATACTCTACTATCTTCATCACCAAGGAGTGGCACAGGTGCTTGGACCTCATGGAGTCATACTGGGCATGTACCAGGCTATACCTTTGGGTACCTACCACCCAGAAAGTAGGAGGAGGGTATGGCCTCAGAGTGACATGCAGTGTACAAGTTGTAAGTTGAAGTCATTTTTCTTGTTTGTTCTCTTTAGATACTCAAGACAGTAGAGTGTATTTTGACATACTATGCGTACATGGAGTATAACCTAAGATCCAATTGTTGTGATTGTACATGATGTGGAGTTTCGCTAGTCAGGTGTTCTTATATGAAGTAGGAAAGTTATGTCTGATTCACTCTACTGTCTTTCCTATTCCCATCCCACCATTCCCCTTTGTCTAATCCACTGAAATTCTATTCTGCCTTTCCACCGCCTTTGTGTGTTACCATCCACATATCAGGACATTTGGTCTTTGGTTTTTAGGGATTGATTTATTTCATTTAGCAAGATAGTCTCCATCTATTTACTGGCAAAAGTCATTCTCTTTTTATGTCTGAGTAACATTCCATTTGTGTGTATATACCACATTTTCTTTACCCATTCATCTATTGAAGGGCACCTAGGTTGGTTCCATAGCTTAACTATTGTAAATTGAGCTGCTTATGAACATTGATGTTACTGTGGTACTGTAGCATGCTGATTTTCTTTGGATATATGCCAAGGAGTGGGATAACTAGGTCAAATGGTGTTTCTCTTCCAAGTTTTCTGAGGAATCTCCATATTGCTTTCAAAGTGGTTGGACCAATTTGCAGTTCCAACAGCAATGTGTGAGTGAACCTTTTCCCCCACATCCTCAACAATATCTATTGTTGGTTGTATTGAAGTCTTTCTATCTCATATCCCCAGGGACACTTCATCTATGGGTATCTGTTGCTGAGAGGCTCTGTACAACCAGTTCTGTTTTAGTGAGGTAGACCTCAATTTTCAAACAGGTTGACGAATGAGAACATTTACATGAATGCTGCATTTGGTGATCTAGGATCTTGAAGAAACTCGGTCAATAATATGCAAAGAAAAGGCCCCTGAAATGCTGTCCTAGCACTGCTCCTAGTTAATGGCCATTGAAAGTTGAGGACACCATACATGGGGATGGGGAGAAAAATATATATTTAAAACCACCAGTGAGGTTAAAGGTGGTAGTGAAGGGGGTCCCTGTTCTCTTGTTCTGACTTGTGTTCCTGACCTGCTTCTTGCTGTTAGACTTCTCAAAGGTTGTCAGTTCAGGTGACAAAGCCTTGTGATGAATTGGCAAATGGTAGCCAAGAGAACCATCCTGGGCACTGTTCATAGCCCTGAAATTCTGGGCTGGGTGAGAATGAAACAGAAGGCTGGGGACACTTCTCTGAAGGTCATTTGTTTCATCCTTTTCAAATAAGATGGATTTTATTCATTTTACTCAAATTTTATTGCCTTAACATAAATTTAATAGTGCTTGAGAAAAATGCATTTTTCAGCTTATAGAGATAGAAAACTTGTCTCAACATTTTTTTTTTTGGTGGTGCTAGGTGGGGATTGAACCTAGGCCTTGTGCATGGGAGGCAAGCACTCTATCCCCAGCCCTGAGATAGAAAACTTGTACAAATTTGTTACAAGGTGACTTCATCCATGAAGCCTGTTGAAAGAATTTTGCCTCTGGACCTGAAGAGACAGGACAGTTTGTCAAGGTGAGAGTGAGATGGAAGGGTGGAAAGAAGCAACATGGACAACAGGCCCTGCTCAGACACCTGCTCACCATCAGCACCTCACAATAGTACCTTAGCATAAAGAAGCCCTGTGTCTCCTACAGACCTGGACATACCTGGGAGCATGCCTGACCTTAGTTGCTTTTTGTTGCCTGAGCACCCTGGTCATACTTCTCACTTGCAGCAATGTGCTTGTAGATGCTACCCATGAGGAATTGGAGGCTGGATTTTATCACTCTGTGACCCCAGTGACAAGCATACTTTTTTTTTGCAAAGGAGGTAGAAATATGCATACGGTTAGAAAGCAATTTGTGGTGTTAAAACACTCATGGAACTCTCTACTCCCGTGGTCGTCTTAGATCCTTTGAATTTAATTCTCAGGATGATCCTCTGTAGGATCTGAGCATCACTATCATCCATATTTAACAGGAGACAAAAGGGTAGGTGCCTTGTGTCAAATGGCACGACAAGTGGGTGGGTTAAGCCCAAGTCTTTGGTCCTTGACTCTCAATTTTTATTGAGGTAAATACAAAAATTAAGAGTTGAAAAGGAGATAATTTCAAAGTCTCCCTCCAGATCTAAGCCAGCTAAGCTGTGTGCCATTGTTGTAATAAGGACTAATCAGCTTCCGAATTCATATTGCTTTACTTCAGTTTCTTAAATAGCTCCACAAGGCACCTTTACCAGGTAAGAGTTTCTTGGTCATCTGTCCCCTAAAAGCATCTTAATGTGATTGTGTGCCATGAGTTTCAACTATGCACTTAAAATGTACAGATCTGATTGGAAGAAAAATGTGGGTGCTTTTCATTTATTACCAAGAAAATTATTTTGGACATCTAAATAGCAAAAAAAACGTTTAAATAATGATTATGTATAATCAATCTTAGCACTAAAAAGTTTTTGAAATTCGTTCATCCCAAAGTGAGAGCCAAGCGATGGGGGTACACTTGCAGGCTTAGTCTCACCCTTTCCTGAATAGCCCATTATATCCGTGCACATATTTATCATATATTTCTGCTTTCTGGGAAAATCTCTGACCCTCCCTTTCCAGTTGCTTCTATGTTCATCTTGGCTCTTCATCAATACCCAATAGATCTCTGGATGCCAGTCTTTGATATTGAATACTGCATAGGACTTAGTGCCTGAACTGTAAATTTCATTCTGTTGATTTCCACAGAACATTCCAGCCTGAAGAGGTAATTTTGAACTTCATTCAGTCATTGATGTTAGCTGTTGTGCCATCCAGCATTCAGTCATGTGTATATTTTAATATACATGGAAGAGTGACTTGGCCAAGAGTGGATGATGACGACTGTTTGGGGAGTGGAAGGTACAGACCAGTTCTGCGTGCCCCAAAAGCAAGGGTCGGCCAGCTTTCTCTGGTGCCAGATAGTAAACACACTGAGCTTTGCAGGTCAGACAGGCTCTGTTGCAACTATTCCACCGAATTGTGCCTGTGTGGCACAAGATCAGCCATCAACAACAGGTTGGCAAATGAACACGGAGGCATTCCAGTGAAATTTTATTTATGATATTGAGGTTTGAATTTAACATATCGGGAAATATTAGGCTTTACCCTCCCAACCATTAAAAATGTAAAAAATCATTCTCAGTGCACAGGTCATCCAAAATGGGTAGTGGGCCAAATATGGCACCAGTGTCTTAGTTTGCCAGTCACTGTCCTAAGGGGCCAGCTTTCTTGAGGGAGGCTGGAGGAGAAAAATGGCCTAGAATTGGCAAAGGGGAGTATGTGGGGTAAGAGAAACTCATTGTACCATGTGAGAACTGTGCTCTTAGGTTTGGCGTTACAGCAAGGAAGTTAAGGGCTTAGTAAAGAGATCAACACTACAGGGAGTCTTCAGGGACAAAGTAGGAAACTGAGGAAGTTGGAGAAGGGCAGGAGATAAGTCAGGAGCAAGAGGCTGGTGGTAAGTCCAGGGAAGGGTGGAGAGTTGAAGAGGTTAATGCAAGCTGATATTACCTCCAGTGGTCCATTAAGGCAGTGGTTCTCGACCAGGGTGATTTTGTCATTCAGGACACCTGCACCCATATTGAGTTGTCATAACTGGAGTGTGGTGGGGAGGGGTGCTACTGGTGGGTAAATTCCAGGAATGCAGTTTTGGTAAGAATGCCCCCTTGCCAAACAAAGAATATATCTGTTCTAAGGTGTCAAGAGTACTGAGTCAGATAATTGGTTAATACTTGTACCTCCTCCTTGGGGTGATGCCCATGTAGGGAATGTCTTGGCTGTTGGAAAGGGTAGCTTTCTAGAAGCACAT